TTGGCAGTTGAACTTTCAGATGAAATATTAACAAGATTTCCATCATAATAGTATTATAATAAAGTTACGCAAACTTGTATATAAATTGAATTAACGATATATTAAAGATTTTCCTGATTTTCCCTATTTCACCCTTACGCTCCATTATGAATTAATCAAAATATTTGTTATTTATTTAAGCACTTTCATAATTTACAATCTCAATATTTATTTTAAAAAGCAATTTGATCATTGTCATTTAATTTCTAAACAATGCGCAGGTACCCACATGACTATGAGATATTTGCATGTTTATGCATAACACATATTGATATGTGCATACTATAATACTAACTTACAGTTTATACAAATATTGTGTAGAATAGAAAAAATAAATGTAAAGCATCAATCTTACCGGAAGAAACTTGAAGTAAACTTTAGCTCGAACTAAATACATGACAACTGTGAATAACGTAACTGGGTCATCTAACTACTACAAAGTCATACAATATCTGAACGCATGTTTGGTGCTAAATAAAATATTTAAATTTTCATTTCTTTTTCATTGATGTTTTAAAATTTCTTATTCATAGAAAAAGAAAATAGTTACGCTAATAATATTTATCAGTAATTCTAACTTATAAAAGCGAAATCCATTATTTGATCAATTCATTAAGCAACTCCTATCTTACGAATTTACAATTTTCTATATTATTTATCTAATTTTACATCTAATTAAATCTAATTTATATAAAAAAATCTTTTATTTGTATTTGTTTGAACGAATATTACTAATATTTATACCATAAATATTCGAATAAAACTGAAAATCTTGAGAATAAACATTGTTTCGGCAAAAATAAATGTTTCATTAATATATAAAATTAGTATTGCAATGTTTATATGAAAATTCATTGTCTATCTCTATAAATTTTTGTTACTATTAAAATTTTCTTCTAATCATATTATTAACTATGTCCTTTGTCCCGTTAAAAAGATCTAGGATAAAAATTTATATATACATGTAAGTAAATTATTACAATAAATTCTGTTAAAAATAAATCGACCTATATAGCGAATTAATTTTTGTTTTAAAAAAATTATTTACTTTACAAATACATGTTTTTAGATTTGACAAATATATATAATTGTAATTGGATTTTATAATTTTTCGTTTTAACGAACTTTTTATTGAAAGACTTGTGAATCTACTAGTAATGCACATTTTCTTTCGTACAATTAAAATTAAAAAATACTATTCTTTTTAAGAAAAAAAAAAAAAAGAAAAAAAAAGAAAAAAAAGTTAAAATATCATCTTTTTTATTTTTCTGGAATTTTAATTATTTATCAAAGTTTACATATCGTATATAACCTCTTCCCTATTTCTTTCTACTAAAAATATCCATAATAATTATCTCACCGTACGTCTTTAAATTTATAACTAATTCGATCTTTCCTATCTAGAACATAACATAAGGTGACTCACTATAATATTCATATTACAATTAAAATGATTAAAAAGTAGAATGGAGCAAATCAAAAGGTATTATAACAATTTCTTCCTCGACTAATCGATATGAAATATAGAATATTATTAGAGTTTGTAGGCCTCTAGTTATAAAATCGATATAAAAATGTCATATTTATTCTCATAATAGAATAAAACAAATGAAGCATAATATTTTAAGATTGGAAGATGAATTCATCTACTATTTTTTCACTTTTCTCAAAAATCCATATGACGTCCATCTCCATTTAAGAATTGTAAAGATACGTTTGCAAGAATTTCCGTTAAAAAAAAAAAAAATCCTCTTTATCATGGGCTCTCTCGTCGAACAACAATTTCGACTGATATCGCACATCCGTTGATAAAGCACATGCAGACGTTTGTAAATTTCGCCTGTAAGTATAGTCCGAAGAGAAAGCTCTTCAATTTTTAGATGCGGAAGTCCTGGTGAGCGATTTTGGCTGCCAGAAGAAGAATGTAAGAGTGCTGTGGAGAAATCTGATTCACGATATCGGCCGATATAGCTGTTTGGAAAAAAATTCTTGGCGTGATTGAAGGTCCGAGCAATGCTCTAATCGTTATTTTGCGACACAATCCTCGAATCAGCATTTACCAACAGCCTCCAAGCCGATGATTGATCGCTCTTGCTTATCTCAATTATCAGATAATACATTGTAGCTCGATATTTTAAAAGCTGTTAATGATATTTATCGGCTTAGCTAAATTCTATTGATCATAGCAATTCTATAATTATCTTCTCTTAAAATTAGCTTCGAATATCCAACATTTATTTATATTGTTAATTAATTTTTATTGTGTTTTTGGAAGCTGTAGAAATTAATTATGAAATGCTCATCTTGATACGAATCAAATCAATACGATTTTATTTATTTCCCATTAGTAAATACATTATTAAATTTTAAATACCGATTTGAATTTGTTAGCTATTCATGCTTTTATGATTATATATTTGATATTATTATATCATTGCTTAAAAATCCTTCAAAGGAAATATAATTTTTATTTAATAATTAAAGATTGAAGAAATTTTCTGAGAACCATAGAACTTCTATTAGAATTACATAGTTAATCTATAAAGATATGTAATTTCACTGATGTAAAAAGTATTAATTGTAAATTTACATTGTACTTTGCAATATTTCTAAATCAAGTGCAAGACTTTTGTTATTCAGAATTTCATGTAAATCAATCAAATTAGAGCGATTCTACAATTTTTTATTATCATTATTTAATAATTAATTATCATGATTTTTATGTACAGTAATATCAGCGAATTTAATATGTCGTAAAACTGGATAAGTTAGAACAAATGCGCTTGTTTAATGGCAATTTTATTTTAATCCATACTCAATTTAATAAAGCAACTTAATAAAGCTAAATTAACAAATAGCTTAATTAAAAATTATAGCCACAAATTAATTACTAAGAATGTAAATAGAAAAGAAAGGCCAAAAATCAAAAAAAAAAATTTTTTTTTTTTTTTTTTTTTTTTTTTGTCATTAACATATGAAAGACTTGGAAAATAGTCTGAATGTGTGAAATTTATTATACGTTTTTTATTCAACAAAATCCTAATAATCTAGTATTAGAATTGTTTTTAGTGAAAATTTTGGTACACAAATTTGACGATTCAGACTTGAGAAAAATAAATGGCTTAGAACTCATTAATCATATGTATTAGATAGATCATTATTTATTAAAATAACAGTTGCATACTATTTTTCATAGAAATATTATTAACCTTTATTGGTTTAATATGATTTGATATATTAAATCATTTAATATATTATATATATATATATATATATATATATATAAATTGTAATATAAATTATAATAAAGAATAATATTATTTTAATATATATTTAATATTTATTTACATATTTTTTGATTGATAGAAATTTATTGCATATTGAATCAAGCTTCTATTTGAGTTATTATCAGTTTTATCAAATAACTTATTCATAAAGATATTTATAAACAAACATTTATATAAAAGACAGAATTTTAAATATATTAAAAACTTATATTAATCAAAGAACGCGTAGTTGATAATTTATAATTACTATTCAATATAATGGAGAAAATAATATAATTCGTTTCAAGATTACCAATATACTTTATTAATTCAAAACAATGTAAGTCTGATTTATTTCTGTAGCTTATTATTATATATTTATGAAATATACAAAATAGTGATTACTTATCAAAGTTATCATGATAACTTTTATATTGTAATTATTCTATTACCTTTTATATTTATAAATACTTTCAAATATTAAACCAAGAATTTATTATAATGATTGTATATTTATAGTAATAATATGTGAAGCATATTATATTAAATATTAATATAAATGTTCGGCAAATGTTTAAAGTTTCAGCATATTCAAATTTAAATTTGGAAATATACGTTATTCAACTCCTTACATACCTTTATATATTCATATTTAATATGTGAATAACTAGAATAATTGTTCAGATAAATTTCACTTTGCATTAAGAAAAGTTATTTTCGGTTGAAATGTAGTGTTCATTATATTAAACATAATGAATATACTTCTCTTTCTATTTACAATATTATATCAAACTTCAACATTAATTTATTTTAAAAAAAAATTTGTTCTTTTATTTTACATTATATATATATATATATATATCATAAAAAAAAAGTTAGTAAAATATTGTATAATATGTTTTAAATAATATTTGAAATTGTTTGGTAATATAATACTGAAAAGTTATCGAAAGAGCAATGATAAATTATTACTTGTTTTATATCGTAACAAAGTTAAAAAAAAAAGTTACTTGAAGTATAAAAGTAAATATTGAATTAATCCAAGTTTTGTTTATAATTTTTAGTACTAGATTCGTTAAAAATTGATTTAGGGCGTTCTTTTATATACTAACGCCAATTGTTATACTATTTTTATAATTAAAATTCTAATATAATAAAATTCTGAAACTACTTTTCTATTATAAAATAAATTATTGGAGGTAAATAATGTTTTTATGATCTATTTAAAGTCCCTTGAGCTTCGTATACAGTTTTTCATAAAACCTCCTGATATTAGTGATGAAAATATTACTTTTGCTTTTAAGATTTTTTTTTATTATTAATCGAACGAGTTCTGTTTTACACATGGAAGAAGAATGATTATGTTGATTAAAAAAATTTATAAAATCTTATACAATTTTTTTAGCAACTTCCGTAACACGAACATTTAAATTCTACATTATTTTTATAAACAAGTAATTGACCAAATAATTGACACATTTATTATATAATAAATGGTCTATACCTCTCACACAAAATTTCTAGTACTTTAACATTGATAAACAATAAAAATGGGTGATAAGTTCAATTTTTATCTTATTAATGCCAAGGTCACGGCACTCGGCCAAATAGTATTTAATCACTTTGGTTCTTTTTTTTTTTTCATTCGGAGCAGGAAATTGATCGAGGATATGTTGGTTATGTCGATAGGTGACGATTCTGGCGTAGGCGATGGCGAGCACCATGGAGGACTACGGTTCAGAACTACAGGAACTTCAGTGGGGTCCCAGCGATGGGGGCGGACATCTACTGCGGAGCAGCTCGCACTTCCTGCGTCCTGGCGCCGGTAGCTCCTACGAGGCCGAAGACCTGGAGCCGCCTTCGCGTCACCACTACCACGGCACCAGCGGCACTGGACAACAGCCTCGGGGATATTACAGTCCGCCTGGTACTAGCTATACCATCGTCGAGAGGCCGCCCAGTGCCCAGCATCACCATTCGTCTCACGCCACGCCCTACAGGCACCGAGGACACGCGTCGTCCTCCGGAGGCGCTATCTCGCCAGAGCAGGTCCTCAGGTAAACACGTGTTGACACTTGGTCTTTACGTCCGTACGCCCTCTCTCTCTCTCTCTCTCTCTCTCTCTCTTTATCTATCTATCTATCTATCTATCTGTCCAGCATCGATCGCACAGCGATAGTTCCGAGTGCTACGAGTGGTATTTGATTATTTATTTGCAACCGGTCGCTCTAGCTCCAGCACTTTTCCTTTATTCGGTATCGAACGACTATGGCCATGGGGGAATACGATGACCTCGTAGTATACGACCAAGAAATTCTTGGCCGAGTATTTGAGAAGTGGAGCGGGTGCTTTATTCAAAGAATTTCGTGAAAATTTTAACTTTGTAAAATTTATGTCTTTGCTTTTTATTGGATTCCACCGCTCGGCTAAATTTATATTTGTTAAGCCCAGTTGAATATCTGATTTCAGAATTATCTTTTATTTTACATTTCGGTTAACGAATGTAAAGACAATACCTTGGATATTATTTTAAAGAAGTCTTTGGATTACTTGATTTCCCGTTCTGTAAAATTAACAAAGATTAATGGATGAAAAAGTTTTTCTTTATTGAATAAGCTGTTAAATGGTGTTGCCAATAGGAAATTGAAAAGTAAATGAATTTATAAAGTTTATATTAATAATGTGAGAAATCGATTGAAATAATTTTAAATGATATTCGATCGATATTTCGATACTTTTATGTTTAGTAATATATCAACATTTCATGATGAATAAAATTTGAGCTTTATCTCTAGTTAATTATAAGACAATTAATTAATAATGAAGCATGCAAATTGTTTAAAATATACACGACTGAGAATCAGTATCTCAAAAAAAAAAAAATCATTTTATATGTCATTATAATTATAATTTACATAATATCTTAAATATTCGTTATTTTTATTCTTAAAAGAAAATAACTACATTAATGAATTATTTGTGCAATATATTTTTAATTTTGTCAATTAAGTATTATAAACATTAATATAGTATAACAAAATACTTTCCTTACAAGATTTAAAATATTTTGTAATCATTAGTAAAAAAAAATGCAAATTCACGCACTAAAACATCATAATATTAATTCTCAAATGTTCATCAGTTGATGAGATTAAGTTTGAAGATACAATATTATTAAATAAATTTTTATCGTCATGAAATATACTTATTCTAATAACTATATAATTATATAATTTAATATCTAAATATACTTATATACTTATTCTAATATCTTCAATTTATTTAAAAATACTCAGAATCACTATACATATAATGTTAAATTTTTTTCTTTTATTACAAGTGTCATCTTACCTGTATTTCATTTAAATATATAAAGGTTAAAAATTTTGTAAATAAAATATTTCAAAAGTTTTATTTTATAAGTACTTATAATCTTTTGTATATATAATGAGTGGATTGTCGTTGTTTTAATGCGATATAAATTTAAATTATAATAATATGTTGAGTTTCATCAGTCTTTATTAAAATTAGTTAAATATTTATGAATTACGGTGTATTTTCCAAATTCTTAATAATATATAAAATTGAAATATTTAAGTACACGTAATCGAAAGACTTTTATAAAGTTTGATATTTTGGTAATGTAATATGTAATTAGAAATATTAGATTAATGTTATGTATAATATGAACGTATAACGAGTGACTGCACAATATGATAATAAGTTATTTCACGCTTTTATGTGAAATTCTAATTAATTCTTAAATAAGACAACGTTTTTAATAAAGAATGTAGAAAAATTACGATTTCAATATGTTAATAACAATTACAAAATATGAAATGTACAATTGATATAGTTATACTTAGGGAGAATAATAATTGCATACTTATAGAAAATATCTTATAACGGTATTCACGATATTCATTCAATATATAACGATATTTAATAAATAATTTTGTCGAGGCAAAAATATTTGTTATGATAGACTTTGAGGTGTAATATTATTATTATTATTTATTCGAGAATTGCTTGAAGGTATGTAATTTCGAATAATAAGTCAACCTTAATCATCACTTAGTTAATAGTATCTATCTTAATTATCGTTTAGTAACGCATTTTTAAAAATTAATGAAAGGTGGTTGCACGCCACTTTTGAAACTTCACTTGCTGGCGAGACTCTGAAGAAAACTTGAAAAGTGGAATATAGGATGGAGCTTATTACAAGAGACTTAAAGAAAAACTATAAGAACTATGAATTGAAGCATAACCACGAGTATTATAATCAATTTTGTCATCGAATTGAATCTTGGCAATTAAAATGATAATTTTTGTCACAAAGATTACAAAATATGTCATTTATAAAGTGAAGTGGATTTTTGATTTTATGTGAATTTTAAATTACTAGTTTATATTATTAGTTTATTTAAATTTTAATACCAATAGATATTCTTATTTATAAACGTATAAATATTCAAAAATTATAAGTTAAAATAAGATTAAAAAAAAGTGTTAAAAAGAAAAACAATATTATGAATAGGTATTGTTGTTTATAAAATTTAAAGCAATAATTAAATTTTAATAATCCTTAAATTCTTAAAGCCTAATAATTTCAGATGATACTGCATCAAATAGGCATTTCAATTAAATTGAATAATCATATTTGTGCATTACTTTATATGTAAAAATTTTATCGTGTAAAATACCATATTATATTATGAAGAAATTATAATAACAATAATGATGATAATAATAAAATCGTAATAATCGAGATAGGCACATTAAGTAAAAGTTTATTTATTTTTTATATCTTTTTATTTCATTTAAAGCTTTTTGATACTAATATATTGTAATAATAATAATAATAATAATAATAATAATAATAATAATAATAATAATAATAATAATAATAATAATAATAATAATAATAATAATAATAATGATAATAATGATAACAATAATAATAATGATAATAATAATAACCTTATTTTATAGATATTGAAATTGATATTCGAACTTAACAAGTTTGATAAAATAAGTTTTCATATTTCGAATTTGCAAGAAAAAATGCCCAAATATACAGGAAATTATTCACTCAAATCTAAATTTTTGACATGTCAGCTATCGTCTTCTTATTACATGGAAAAACGAATATACGATTTTTTATTTTTCATTCTTAAAAATTCAATCAATAGATGAATGATGAAACAGTCTCCTCATTCGTTAAATCTTCATTGAAATCCTAATAGAATAAGGAAGATTCGTTATCTTAAATAATTAAAATCGAAGCAAAACAAAACAAAACAAAAAAATGTTCTTAGAATTTCAAGCACTTATGGCACCGGAAGGAAAAAGTCTCGACATGTAGCCAACGATAAATGCATCGTTGATTCCAAATTTTTTTTTTTTTTTAAAAGATTAAACTCAATTGAAACTCTGATCTCGTCCGAAGGCTATTTGGAAATGGACTCACGGAACGTCGACAAAATGAAAGACGAACCCCTGCCTCGAGTCCAGCCTCCGTCACTGCTCTTCGGACTTCCGCAAGCTCGTCGCAGTCGACGTCAAATGTCCAGGCCTCGCCAGCACCCCATTCCCTAAGTCTGCAGGAACTCACTGTGAGGACGATCACAATGACGAGGGAGCCGCCCGACTCTAATCACGGTTTCGGCATCTGCGTCAAGGGTGGCAAGGACGCTGGTAAGACCCTCCGTCCTTTTTATCCGCATACTTTGCTCTTGTCAATTATTCCTTTCGCCGAGACGGGGGCAAAGGACCTTTTGAAAGAAATGTCCACTTTTTGATGACACTGCTGCCTTATCGCTCTAGTCGAAAGGTTCTTTATTCGCGGATTATCCATCGACTCGTTGGTAGGCACCTTGAACTAAAATTTATCTTTTTTTTTTTTTTTTTTTTTTTTTTTTTTTTTTGACAGTTCCCAATCGGTCATAAATATTTTTCTAAAGAATATTAAGACGATGGAAGCTTTCATAGATCGGCTCTAACGAACCATAACCATTTGATGCACCGTGTACGTTGTTTGAAAAATTCGACGTTCACTCGTTAACCATTCGTAAATTCAATAATCATTCCATTTAATTTGCCATTGCGAGTTCATCGGCTATTCATATTTTTGGACGAATGGTCAACGTGAAGTGCTCACGGTACCTTATCAATCAAATTTTTAATGCAAATGGGCAAGTAGCTTGCGGTTTCATTGCAATAATATCGATAGAATGGCACTTGATGCGCGGTTTTAACAACGTGACCGGAACAAACATGAGCGAAATTAATGGAAATTCATAATACGATTGTAAATTGTGTGAAGTAAGGCTTTTTATTTGTATGGATGCTTATTCTCTTAAATCTACTTGCCGAGTTCGAATTTTTCAATACAATGTTTAATTTAAAATCAATATACATGTAATAAAACTACTCATCGTTGTGAAAAGAATGAAAAGAGTTCGACTGTCGACTGCGATGCCATTCTTGTCCATCTGACTGAGCCAGATACGCAGTCAGATAATTCATTATAGTTCAAGTAAAAATAAACAAGAACGAGCGCCTTACAGTACAGAGTATCAATAAAATAAAGAAACGGTACATTAAAAGCCAACAATTATAATTATTGTCTAATAGTCTTTTTTAATCAATCCCAATTGCCTACTACAATTGCTATTGTTTTTCACGTCATCATAAAGAAATATTATTGATTGACTCGAAATAGTCTATAATCTTCGATCAGTAGGCTTGCAATGATGTCGTTGATTATTATTTTATTAGTATCGGGCATAAATATATAAAATACTCGGCTGTCCATGTTGCATGCAAAGTGTCCTAAGTGTATGTATAATCTAGGGGAATCGAGACTTCAAGTGTCATGCCCGCATTTTCATGCTACTATACATAAGTCTTGGATCCTATATAATTTATAGCTATAAGTTTTTAATGAGGATATTTTTATCCTATTTCACCGAAGCAATTGAACTGCCGTAGAATTTTTATAGGCAAAGTGGATTGAATTTTTTATTCGAGCTCACTTTTCACTCGATCGATGCGAAACACGATTTCTCTGGCGATACTCTCTATCTGTTTCAATCGAAATGAAGAGTGTTGGAGAATTTGGAGAGATTGGAATATGTGCCAGGCTAATGTTTAAACGCAGGCTGTCAATTTTTATTAATGGGCTAGACGTTGTTGAAATAACTACTCGAATCATCGAGTCATTCTTTGTTATGTGCATATACTTGAAAATGGGAGTCCATTTTTTCCAGTTGTATAGTCGAGATTGCATATTTATGAAATTTCAAAGTGACTTGTTGAAGTATCGGGCAAAGTATTCGACAATTATATTACTTTCACATGCCAGTTGCCTCTAATATTTATTTATCAATTATATGAGGTAAAGCATTTTACATTAGTATGGTAATATATTTTTTATGTTATGAATTAATTTAATTGAAATTAAGTGATTTAAATACATAATGATTGAATATAAATTTTTAACATTTGTATGAATATCAATTAATTTTCGGAATATCTCCAATCAGCTTTCAATTATTTTAATATTGATAATAGCAGATTATTGTATGATAATATAATATATTATAAATAGGTGGTACTACCGTAAATAAATTATAAGACGGTAAAAAATATATAGAATATACATAAATGTGTCTTAGATTATATTCTATAAATTTTATTTTTAAACTAATCCATAATCGGATAATAGAAGATTTTAATTGAGAACATAGAAGAGAAAGCTAGTAAAAGCATTGATGTATTAGATAGAACATAATTTATTTAAAAATAAAAAAATCTTTTCATCTTTATCTCAATATTTTCTAGTTTTTAATTAATAAGGATTGTCTTTTTACACAATACGTTTCTCTCTCTCTCATTTCTTATATAAAGAACTAAAATTATCACTGAAATAGAAAATATTCTGTTTAAAAATATAAACTCATTATATATTATTTTTAAAGTATGAGATCAATCAAATGACAACTCAATAGACATATAGTGTAAGAAAATGTAAAATAATGTTTATATTAATATCTAATATTCTTATATTATTTTTCATAAAAATTTTAATTCATTTTAAGTTTAAAGATTATAATATTGATTATTTGCTTTTATTATCTCTGCTTGGCATTATTAAGATATTACAAAAAAACAGGTAAATTGAAATGTTTGTCATAATAAAATATGTACGAATATCGGTTAATGAACATTGAAAGTAGCCTAATGTACTTTTATTAATTTAACATATTGATTTAATGTGCATTACTTAAGTCCAATTAAAAGGATACTTTCTCGTATGTATCAATTGATCTTCGTTAGTCTTATATTAATGGATGAAAAAGTTTTCTTTATTGAATAAGCTGTTAAATGGTGTTGCCAATAGGAAATTGAAAAGTAAATGAATTTATAAAGTTTATATTAATAATGTGAGAAATCGATTGAAATAATTTTAAATGATATTCGATCGATATTTCGATACTTTTATGTTTAGTAATATATCAACATTTCATGATGAATAAAATTTGAGCTTTATCTCTAGTTAATTATAAGACAATTAATTAATAATGAAGCATGCAAATTATTTAAAATATACACGACTGAGAATCAGTATCTCAAAAAAAAAAAAAAATCATTTTATATGTCATTATAATTATAATTTACATAATATCTTAAATATTCGTTATTTTTATTCTTAAAAGAAAATAACTACATTAATGAATTATTTGTGCAATATATTTTTAATTTTGTCAATTAAGTATTATAAACACTAATATAGTATATCAAAATACTTTGCTCGCAAGTACTTCGTTGTGAAATTCAACGAAACAACAATTTTTTGAAGCTTAAATAAACACTTCGATTTGCATTTATTTAAAAACATTTTACGTATTTTGTAAAAAAAAAAAAAAAAAAAAAAAAAAAAAAAAAAACACGTAGATTTTAAGTGTCATTTATAAATTAATAGTCATTTATAAATAAAGACAAGTAGATTAATAAAGTAAATTCATTTGTCTGATAAAAAAAAAATGCTATTGTTAATATTGACAACTTACTTGCAAACATTTCAAGACTTCTTTCCTAAAAAAAAAAAAAAACATTTTTAGATCTTTTTAAAACTGTCTTTAGATCTCAATTTATCATATCGGCAATTATAATAGTTGCATGCATCACCGCCTTAAAAGACTCATTCAGTTTCGATTTTCAAATCTATAATTTTTCATCTCCTTGTATCAACTTCTTTCTACGTTACGTTCACTTTAACTTTGTTATTTTCATCTTATACCTTTCGCGCGATACATCCATCTCTAGTGCCATCAAAAGAGCTCTCGGCTATCGTTGAAGGTCCTTGAAGTTTCACTGGCTATAAAAAGAGAGGGATTCAAACTTCTTTTAAATAGATATGACATAGGATATGTGATATGTGATATAAAGTACGCGGTCGATTGAATATTGAGATTGATAAATATTAATTGCATGAAAAATGTGAAGGATCCTTTCGTTTAGTTGAGCGAAAGCTATGCGCGATGATTAAGAGGAGAAACAATTTCGTCGCTCAATTAATTAGGATGAAGCTTCGATGGTTGACCTGTCCAAGCTTCACTGCACCTAGATGCCTATAAATGGAGATTTATTATCCTGAGTAACTTAATTTTCACGTCGAGTCTCATTTTGGCAACAATAGCCGGGAGCGGAGTCATTGTAAGTGGCCGGTAATAAATGACAGCGGAGATGGAGATGGAGATGGGGATGCAATAGCGCGCGTTATGCTTGCATAAATCAAGAGAAAAAAAAAAACAAGAAAAAAACGCAAAGGGGGATAAGACATAATGAGTAAGGAAAGCCGTCCTTTCTCAAGTGCAATGCTTTTATGCTTTTACGAGTTGACGTTTTAAATGTTCTATGTCCTAGGGGTGGGAGTCTACATTTCGAGGGTGGAAGAAGGCTCAGTGGCCGAGCGCGCTGGACTACGGCCAGGCGACACCATCTTGGAAGTTAATGGAACGCCTTTTCGAGCAGTCACCCACGAGGAGGCTCTCAAAGTAAGTCTATTTTATATTAATTGCTAATTTATGCTTGTATTTTCTTAGCTTTGCCGGTTAATAGAATCGTGGCTTGGGTATGTAGGCGAAAATTTCTTAACTGGCATCCGACACTCGGATATAAAATCGAACGTTAGCGATGCCATTTGCCGACCTTACTTATTTACTAGTTTTGTACTTGGTTTAGTACTTGATATTAGTTTTGTACCTTATTTACTAGTTTTGTATTTATTAGTTTTGTACAAAATGTTAAGTTGCCCTTGACAATTCAGCATCGAAATCTAAAGTTCTTCTAAAGTTCAAGTTTTTACGCAACTAAAGCCTCTCATCGAAATTCACTCGAGTGTAATGTCTTCTTTATTCGTTCGGATCATTATACGTTGCACTGACATATGTTTAGGGCGTAGCATATAATTATTTAGTCCCGATTTATTGCAAATTTAATGTTCATGATAATGTTAATATTAATTCTCAAATTCTATTAAATATCTATGATGAAAAAAATCTATATGAAAAAAATCGCATGTAAAATATAACGATGAAACATATATATATATTCGTGATAATACAAGTTTAGCGTCCAAAGTAAAGTACGAACATCTAATATTTATTAATAAATAAATTATGTTAAAATATAGCGTCGGATATTTTTATAAATATATATTTTCATATATAATGTACATTTTATTATTGATAATTCTTAAATTTTTTTCAAATATCTATCGAGCAAAGTTACTAGCATAATTCTTTAGTATGTAAAAATATTATAAAATATCTTTTCAATATTTATATTTTTTTTTTTTAAACATAATATTGAATTTTTTATAATAGAATTATATTTATCTGTTGAAGCAGATGTAGTACGGTTATAAATTGATATTTTATCGTTTATATTTATTAATAGTTTCTTTTTTCTTCAGCCATTAACTTCTATGTGTGAAAAAATTTTTATTCGCCACATTTCTCTGATATACGATTTTTTATTCAATCGTAAATCTTTTATCTGTCTTATTTCTTTTTTTATTTAATAATACGATGATATAAATTAAACATATTATAAAATTAATTTTATAAAGTATTAGGACATTAAAGATAAACATATACGTCTCTGTAGAGAGTTATATGAATTATTTGGATAGCAACTCGGAAAGCTTAAAGTTAAAAATCTATAAATTACAATCGCGTACAATGTCAATATTTTTAAAAGAATAAATTTTTTGTATTCTAATGTATGCATTAATTTTTCTACTACCCCTATCATCATTTATTAACTTTATTATCATAACTATTATGTAAAGTTTAATTAATCCAAAGCAAAGACACTTTAACATTTGTCTCTATAATATCATAGATTGCCGGGACCTTCGAATCCCATCCCTATAGATCCCTATATAGCATCTATTATTTTTTTTTTTTTTAATATTTTCTAAATATATAATAATTGTTTATATAAATATTATTATTCTTTTTCGTGAGCTTAATTTTATGAATAATATCTTTAATGGGATACAGTTATATAACAAATATAAACAACAATAGGATGTTTATTTTGTATCAAAAATTAAATTTTTCCTTACGAGATATTAATAATTGATCTTTATCGGTTTTATGAAAGATCAAGTCCAGTGAGTATACGCGATTACTTTTCACAAATTATTATAATTTTTTTCAAGATTTTTTTGTAATGTAATTTTATTTTAATGTTCAAAATGCTTAAAATTAATAATACGGTATCACTTAATTATTATTTATGAGAACTGTGATAAAAATTGTATAGTCAGGTGATGTCTCCAGATCCAGTAATCAGTCATAAAAAATAATAGTACTATCTATATGTTATCGAATGATTTCTGATTATGTATGAGATCTCCTTTTAATAGATCTTTAAAACGAAAATTCAAATTTAATTTAACTTTACTATTTCTAGTTTGAGAGTTTAATTATCATTAAAAGACTTTATGCTCGTAACAGAGTAGTCAATTAATTATTACTTAGTCATTTGAATATTTACTTTCATGAAACAATAACAATAAATTCTATATCAATATATTTAATAATCTTATGTGCATAATAAGCGATAATAATAAATATTGTAATTTAAATTAAAACTTGGCTAATATTATTTTTAAAGACGTACAGTTTTTGGTTTTTTGAAAATATATAATAATATTTTATTATCGATATTATAATTTTTTATATATCTTTAATACTAACAATGTCAATGCTAGATATTGACAATACACGCGTACAGAAATAATTGCAAAAACATTAATTATTACATATATAATAATTTCGAAGATATAGGTTATAAATTATATAAATAACATATTGAAAAAGTGTTCAATTGAAAATTTAAAATACATTTTCAAAAATTGATAGAATAAATAATTTAATTTTTTAATTCTATAAGGAATAATTATTACAAAACTATTCAATAATTATAAGTATTTATTAAAATATTAACATAACATAAGTTCTGTCACGTATAAAGTTAAGTTTTCTTACTTCGAGAAATAAGTTTTTTTCAAATCTAAGCTTCTCTTCTAGTAATGATTTGTTTCATTTCCCATTACAATTAATTTGCGGCTACAAGAAACAAAAAAGGGAAGGAAGCAATAGAAATTCAGTATTACAAGGCCAAAGAGAAATTAAGGAAAAAGAATGCAAAGGTTTGTAAACACATACATGCTAAATTCTTACACAAAGAATATCTCTGGCAATCTTTTACTCATAAGAAAATCTGGGTATTTTATTTTTTAGACGATACTTTATATTCTTTTTTCATTTTTAACATGACTTTTCTATTATTATTATTATTATTATTATTATTCATATTTGTAGAATATTGCAATTTATGCTAAATATCTACAACTAATCATTTGATATTTAAATCAAATAATTTACTGAGAGATTCTTTCCTTAATTCCATAAATATATTTAAAATAATTGCGATATTCACCTAGAATTTTAAGATTGTATATTATAAATACATTAACAAAGACTTATTTTTCATTATAAATATTTGGATAAATAATGAACAAAATTCTTTATTATGAATGTATCCTATGTTTTAGTTCTACTTTTATTAATTTAAGGAAACTAAAATAATTAATTATTAAACACATTAATTGTGTTTACAATTTATTTTACAATTTTAATAAGAATGAATTCAGAACAATAACAAAACAAAATTGTATTGAAAGTTTACGTATACTTGAATATATTTCAAGCAATAAAATATCTATTTATTATAAAATTGGAAAAACACATATATAATAAATATACTGTTAGAGAAAAAATAATAGAATTAATTTTTTTTTCTAGTAATAATTTACAATATCGATTGCGTCTTATCTACTTGTGTTATTATAAATTATAATAAATAATAGAAATTGCGTAGAAAGAAGCTTTATTGAAATTGATTCTAATTGAATTGAGTTTATGATATTTGCGACATAACTGTTTTCTATTTTACTTAATAGTCCATAAATATTAAATAATTTTAATTAAATTGTCAATTAAATGTAAAAGACTCGAAGATAATAAATGATAAATATAGCAAGTAAAATTTATTGAAATAATTTTTGTCAAATTTCTTGGTCAAAAACTAAAACAAATTGTAAATACAAAAAGTTATTAAATAAATAATTCATAAAATCTTAAGATGTTTAATACTCTGAAATAATTTAAGTATTTCATAGATTGTATAATGTATTCATTATATTGTGCAAGATTACAAATATTGTACAGGATAATAATTTACCATTTTTATTATGATAATAAAGTGATTTTCGAGAATCGATTGTTTTAAAATCAATAGTTCATAAAATTTTAGTATGTAAAAATTAAGCTAATAGTTTGCATCATAATTTGACTATGCAATTAGTATGTTTAAGAATATAGAAAGTTTTATTGAAAACATCCAATAACAATAATAACAATAATATAATAATAATTATTAAAGCTTCCTATGATTAACATTTTTAGATCGTCGTGTAATTTTAAATGCAAAGCTTATAAAGCATTTAGAAAAGCTTTATACTTAATTAAATGCTGTGTATATTTAGTTATTCATACAATGAATAAATGGTCAGCTATAAAAGCTTCTAATAATTGAATAAAAACATATTTAAATAAAATTCAGACGAACGTCACTTGTCTTGATATATTAAAAATCTTCGAGTGTCGGATAAATCATACCCGTAATACACTTAGATCAATTTTTAATTTCATGCGACGATAGATGAACAAATTTTCTCAATAAAACAAGGTATTGAATTTATTTCAATTTATAATAAAATAATAACGTGTAAAACAAATTGTACGACTTTATTAATTACTATTTTATCAATATATTTTGTTAAGGTAGTCTTATGCGACTTGTTTCCCAACTATCTAAGCGTTAAAAAGTTGTGCCAAATTTCATAAAAGTACTTGCAATATAACATAAAGTTTCTTGGCAATCACAGCAGAGAGTCTCAATCTCACAAGGATAATGACCTTATATATGATAGTTACATATAAAATTATTAAAAAGAGGAAAATGGAACCTTTGAAAGTAAACTTTAATATAAATTTTGAAAGAAAGACTATTTCATCCCTCAACAGTTTTCGTTCGGAATTTATGAATTTACTATAGATCTTTTGTATAAGCATGGAAAATTTAGTTAAAACTGTGCCAAAAATCTAAATTATGATAGTGAAAAATCTTTATTCATTGCTGGATATCGTAGAACTTGATATCTAATTTAATCGATAAACCCATTTGATTTATTTTCAGTATCACTATGTATTGAAATGTTCTATACCTCTCATGCGCATAAAATTAATAAACAATTAAGTATCTTTATAAATCAATGGCAGTTTAGTGTAAATATTTCAAAAAGCATTAAAATAGTTGAAATAATTATGAAAACACTAAGGATACTGTGCATTTTATGTATATTTTTATTTACTTTGAAAATATATGTCATAAATGTATTACAAATATACACATTGAA